CAAATTCCAACATCACACTGACAATAACTCAAGTGTTCCTAAGAATACATATATATTATTTTTGAACAATTGAATATCGAAGCTAAAATAATTCACAACTAACCCACAATTTGGAGACTACGCCTCGGTCCATCCTGGACCATTATTAAATAGCGACTTTATATACAGACCCCCAAAATTAGAAAGTGACCACTATAAGTTGTGGAAAAAATATAGATCGATCAACTAATAGACATAAGTACGGCGAAATCTAAAGAGGGTCCAGTCACAAGTGGCGTTCCACAGGAACCTGTTTTTGGCCTTTGTTCGTAATCTCCATTAATGACCTTGACAGAATAAAAAGTAATGGGAAGAGATAAAATGACAAAAAGAGGTAGAGTAATAACTGGAGTTACCATACAACTTCAGAATGGTTTGAAAAAGTTAATGGAGTAGGAAAACTGAATGACGCAGTTTATGGTGAACAAGTGGTAAAGGGAAATGCAGTTATATGGAACCCTCGCGGTAGACTGGTTCAGACAGATAAAGCTGGCAAGGGAAGGGTGGATATATAAATAATAACGAGTAGCCGTGAAGAGGAGTAAGTGCACATCAGATCACTAATTCGTAAAAGTCCTAAAAGTTTTCGGGCAAGAGGTTCGGCTAACTTTTACAACCTCCACATTTGAGTGTTATTTCATGTAGAAGTTGCAACAAGATCTGTGGTGTAAATAGCAAGAGGCCTAGACACTATTATCCATAATCTTAAACAAGCACGCCGCACTGACAATGCATGCGAGATACACGAGCCAGCACTAAGAGACATCTTATGAAGTAGATCACTTCTGGCTTACCTTTAGTCAAAGGTGGTCATCATTAACCCTACGGCCCGGTCCCAGACCAGGCCCCTTACTTGACGGTCTAATCAATCAAGCTTTTGCTATACGCCATATGAAGTCAAAAGTACGCGCCACAGCCTAGCTGATCAGGAACCAATTTGAACTATTGAAGTGCTTGCTTAAAGACAGCTAAGGTATCTGTTGGTAATTCCTCTTGTATATAAAGGGAAGGTACTGAAAAGTTTTGGCCATTCTACACTTGCGGTAGTACATTAAGAATGTACTACCGGAACCTTGTGTGACACGAGATATTTTTAGACCGTCTGCCGAATCCCTTGCTCTCATAGGGAGAATTTCAGTTTCTAGAATTAATGCATTAATGATATTAAAAACCAATAAACATATGAATTAGACATGTGCAACACCTGGGTATCTTTATTTTAAAGACGTTTCGCCAATCTGTGATCTTTTAAATTCAATACAGCGATTAAATATGGAAGACAGTGAAAGATGAGGTAATCAACCCACAGCTCTGAAGGTGCTCAATACTTCAGTCTGTTTGAATCTGAAGCAGCAGCAGCAGGAAATTGACCCTTATAAACACTAGTCAGATGAGGTTCAGCAGTTTAAGACAATCAGAGGTAGGCGGTACCCACTAGTGGAAGTAGGTCTTGCCAGCGATCTACTCCAAGGCTGTGGACTGATTATCTCAAACTCCCTCATCTTCCAACATTTCTCTCTGTATCGGACTGAGGAAGCCACTGCCTGGCGAAACGCTTTCAAAATAAAAATATCCAAGTCTTACACAAGTCTCACATTCATCAACTTTTTTTTTATAAATGCTTTACAAAACTCACATGAGTAAAAACTCTAAACAAACCTGTCACTGAACTCTTAATTATGCCTCATTAGATTCTCGCCCCTAATGTTGGTAATTTTAAGTAAAACTTGACGAGGATATCCTTGCAAGGCTGCATGTGCTATGCAGGTGACTCAGGTGGGGGGGGGGGGGATTACTATGTAATACGACAAAAAAAAAAAGTTTCTCACAGCTTTTGTTTTCCCCGAGTGTATTTTATCAGTACAGTACATGCATTATACATATACTACACCAGTTCTTCGAAGTGTTCAAGCAGGAAAACACGTATCTTTTAGCAAATCGTAATCCTAAAGAGTCCCTACAGAATCAGTCCGCCAGATCCCATGATTCCTTCCCTCTCCGCCCTAGGCGGCCAGATTTTTGATCTGAAGGGCGTATGGGTTTTCAGTTCACTTCCCAACACCAACCACCCCCACCCCAAATTCTAACCCAAGTCCCATCCTGGGTCTTTGGGTGCCAAATCAAGGGGATGACTTGATACTGAAAGAACTGATAAGACACACGCAAAGTGTTCCACATGTGTCTTATCTACCTGTCGATATTGTATAACAAATATAATGATGAAAATATAGATTTACATTTGAAATATCTAAACCAGTGTTGGCCACAGAGTGATGCTGAAGGAATGGGAGCTACCTATCCTTTACCTAAACCTTATTACCTTCCATTCTCAAGGATCTACATGACATTTATTAGTTTAGCGCCTGCCCAGGATTAAAATACTTCAATGAAAACACTCACGAAAACAGAACTTTCACGGGATGTATACAAAGTTTTGTTCACGTGCAGTGATCTTAAAGATCGGTTCATTTGAACGAAACGTTGTGCATCTCTAATAAAGGTTCTCCTGACTCTCAAAGCCGCAATAACACGATTGCAATCAAATCGCAGAACAGGTGGCACTCGAACCCCATGGCAGGCGAGTCCTAAAACTCGCAGGCTAGTATGTTAACCACTGGACCAGCTGGCTCTAATAATTAATCAAAGAAGTAATATTTCTATACACCACAGGGAGGTTAGCATGGGCTCCACTGTGGCCACAAATGCAGGTTTTTACAGACGAATCCCACATCAGCATGGCTGTCACGTGCTCTAGCTCAAGTCCCTTCAAAGCCTCCATGATGCAACGTTACTCCCCTCGGTTAAAATAACAAGGTTTAAGCTTGTACAATAATATACATCATAGGTGAGGCCTCATTCAGCTTACAAGGCGAACCCCTGGGTTTCCATATTACAGAACGGATACGGGGTGAGCCGTCGTGGCACTGGCTCTAGGCGCCAAAGTTTAAGGGGAGCCAAAAATTAAAAACACAAAGATTAATCAATTTATATATTATGAATAATGCCACAGAAATGAGTGGCACTGGGCCGAGAATTGTATGGCTTTAGAAATTTTGCTTAAAGATGGATGTCAGAAAGACATCTTTCGCATTGATTTATACGAAGACACTTGATAAATAATTTCGAGGGAAGTTATTCTCAACGATAATTTTTCTCCGTTCTACGATGCAGCAAGACCGGTTGGATGGATCGGTAACTTAATCTTCTGGATATGTCATCGCAAAGGATTTATAAGAATGGACATAATGCGTTGGGAAACAAGAGAATGTTGAAAATAATCCTCTGCACTAGGAATCTTACTTAAGATATCCCCCCCCACCCCCACCCAGAACGTACACGCTAGAAAGGCATAATAATGAGTTGAAAAAAAAGATGAAAAATAAGTATAATAAAGTGGGTAGAAACAGGATATCTAATCTTAATAAAACTAAATGGACTGAAGTTGAATAAATTCAGAAAAGATATAGAAAATCGCAAGTGGAACATACTCAAGTAATACATTATACGCTAATAACGGCTGATATGGAGATCGGGTCCTTTTGAAATATCACGCTTTATTTTCTTTATTAAAATACAAGTATGCTACTTATACCAGTACAAATTATTTATCGTACAAACCATTTTGGGAGATGCTAATAAAAACTTTTAGGACGTGCAGTACGTTATGCCAGTCAATGGTTCGTATTTATGCTCCTGGCCAATCACAGAAAATATATTATTATTATTATTATAATCAAAAAGAAGCGCTAAGCCACAAGACAGAAAATATAAACAAAGACTAAATGAATGAATGTCAACAAAGTGCCCTAGTCCCATATCTACCGCTGGCAGAGCAAGATTAGGTTCGGTTATTGTGTTTGGTTAAAGTACGCTTATTAAAACTGCACAACAATAATGTCCATGACTTAACTAACCTAACACAAGGATCGGATCCCCATAATTACCCTAATATCTTGGGAAGCTTCAAATAATAGCCAGTCAAAAATGGTTGTGTAAGACAGACATGCCTACCACGAAACCAGCAGGTATACTGCAATGTTCCTCTATTCTTATGTTTTGTCATCTTCACACAAACAGACTTTAGAGTAATATTCTGTACCAATAGCAAATATCAAGTGTCAACGTCGATGTTATCACCAAGCTCGACTTGTGTTGCTTTATGCACAAGGCAGCCATCACAAGTGTAAACCACTCGTTTATCTGTTTCTTCAGACAATAGTGGCGTATATAATTAGGTTTAAAACAGCCTGCACGTGCGTCATAAAGGCTGAACTTCCCCGTACAGTATCAAAGAAACTAATTCCTAAAGTAAGAATTAATGTAGAATCTACATACATTAGATATGTACAGGCCTGGTCACAGTCCGGGCTTCGGGGGCGTTGACCCCTGAAACCCACTCCAGGTATACCTGTGTAGGTAAGCAGAACAGGTGGTCCCCCCCCCCCCATTAAGACCCCACAAGCAGGCTACCCACTCACCAACCTCACCCGTCATTCTTTTTGCTGCTACATTGGATTTTTTTTTTTTTATATTCGGGCTTTCCTAATCCTGATATATAACTACTATAATAAAGGATTTCAATACCTGCCTATTTATTATGGTGAAACCAGACTTGAAATATTGTTGTACAACTTTTAAGTTTTAGTTTATAAGACACGTTCATAAAACAAGTTTATCTCCCAAACTGGTTTTTCACTTTCCTATAAAACTAATTTAGCTAAGTTTTGCAATGAAAATAGGCATGTAAAGGTATAAGAATTAGATAAAATACATGAACATAACTTTTATCTAGAGGCGACAACACAAAGGTGAAAAACAACTGTACTTGCAAGTATGCCCAACTTTCAATGTTTACAGAGTTGTTTATACTGTAGTTGTAATTTGACACTAAATATACAAAATGAAGACAAGAAACATGCTTAGTTTTCGGATTAAGAAACATGTCAACCAACTCGACTCACTCCGAGCCATCTTGAAGTATTATGTAGGTCGCCCTCTCAAAGCATACACCCCAAATCCTTTTACGTAATCACTCAGTATATAAAGGGTCTCTAATTACAATTTCTTTCAGTTTTAAAAGTCGCTAAACAGCGAAATCATAGCACCGAACACTGAACAGAAGAGCAACACTACCACCTCAGAGCTCTACAGTGAACTGCTGGCTAGACTATGTCTTTCCATTCACCTGAACATTACGCTCCGTCCAGGGCTTCTTGCCATGAACGAACTCTTTTAACTCAGTCCCTTTACGATCTCAGTCATTTTATAGCGAACATTGTATTTAGCCTTATAACATTTAAAGTTTAAAGGCAATTTTGTGGTTTTGAGTTTTTAGTAATATATCACTGGTGTGAAGAAGAAAAGGATAATATGTTCTCAAAATTTCCTGATGTCTTATTCGTGTTGTTTAATGCGTATGGACGCCCGGTTAAATTACCTAGAATTCAAGATTACTCACAGAAAAGACACAACAAGCAACAATTCAGAACATTAATTAAAAATAATATCAATAACGATATATGTTAGTAAACAGGAAGAACATTAAATAATATCCTCCTTCATTTCTCTCCTATATTAAACCTCATTTATTAAATATATTGCGTATTTGTTTATATATATATAATGTGTGTGTGTGTGTAATCACTTAAGCCTATAGTATGTTGTCTCATTTGTATTCTTGTACAATGTTTCTTTTAATCTTATGTACAGTTTTGCATAATAAACTATATTTGTATAGGTTTGTATATGAGAAAGATGTAAAATCAGGAAAATTCTAGTCAACTGTAATTTTTGAGAAGCGTTCCAACTCCCATGGACATCACATCCACAGTTGTGAAGTTTTTACAACAAATATTTATCACACAGTAACATAGGTATAATTCAAGGAACAGATCTGTTTCACTACCCAACTCCCCGGTTCAGGTTAATAAATCTTCGTTATGAAAGATTCAATCAGTACTAACCTAAGAACGTAACAAAAACTTGGGAACTTTTGTATATATCTTCTCTTTCCGGTGAATTTTGAAACGTCGTAGACATTCCCGTCATCTATACGGACTACAGCTGACAGTTATTTTTAACAGTCCCTCTCCAGTAACTTCTACCGTTGGAAAGTGTTCCATCTACATCTCCTCCCGCTGCCCCAGAGAACTCAATCAACAAAGCACTGAGGTGGATTATTATAAAATCATGGGGGAGCGCTAAACCCATAGGATTATACAGCGCACGTGGGGGTGGGGGATGGAAGGTATTCAGGCTCAATTCAGGGAACTGGAGCAAAGATTCAATTCCCTAGATCAAGAGCTCCTCACCAGCGTCAAGGAACCTCCCTTGAGGGGACACTCAGGTGGAATCTTTCCGGTAGTAGAGTAACAGCTTCCCCTGATGAACACTGACATCTTCATTCGCCATTATCATAGTCAAACACAATATAAAATAAAAAATCCATTTGCTCCAACACTTAGTGAGAGCAAGCAGTGCACATATCACTATATTACAGTATACGAGTAGCTTAACACTAATAATTAAATCTACACAGTCCTGAGTCCAGGGAAAATTACCTGTGAGTTAATCCTCACTCATCGGTCTCAGATCTTAATGGAGTGGCCTCTAATGTGTATAATAATTATGAGACATTAAATCATCTTGTGAACTGTAATGTAATTAATGATAATAACACTTAAGTTAAGAGAATGCGTGAAGTGAAATAAGTCGCCTTGCTCGGAGTGAACACGTTAGACCGCGTTGTTCCCGTCCCGAGGATAGTGAAGTTTTATGGAGTCACGACTTCTAAACCGGGACAAATCAGCGGATACCTCGTCCTGCTGGAATAAGAACCGTGTCGGTGTAGCAGGACATCGAAATGAGATGGTGAATGGAGGAAATAAGGAGTATCAATCACCCACAGCTAAGTAACCCTTCTAGTTATAGCAGACTGATACTGGCCAGTTAGGTATGTTGTAATTAGATAGGTTATGGGTGATCCAGCTACATCAAGTGACCACCAGAGAATATCTGGTAAGTGGTGGGATTATGTACAATTGTTTTTCTTTGATGGATATATCAATGTGTAACCTACCCCCCCCCCTTCATTCAGTTAAACTAAAATAATCTATACAGTCCACAATTAAGTAGTAGCGCCGTACTTGTGGGTGCTATCCAATTTATACTGGTCTCCGATAGATATGGATGAGATTGTTAGGGTCGAGGGGGGTCACCTGCAGTGACCAGAGGTGGTTAAGTTTTCTCACATGTCTACACGGGGTGACTACGGTAAACAATATAGTTGTTGTCTCCCAATGAGATTACTCGTATGCATGTAATGTTGAGGTACGTACAGGTAATCACCCTAGAAAATTTTCCATACTTGGGAACTTTTGTATATATCTTCTCTTTCCGGTGAATTTTGAAACGTCGTAGACATTCCCGTCATCTATACGGACTACAGCTGACAGTTATTTTTAACAGTCCCTCTCCAGTAACTTCTACCGTTGGAAAGTGTTCCATCTACAGCTCCTCCCGCTGCCCCAGAGAACTCAATCAACAAAGCACTGAGGTGGATTATTATAAAATCATGGGGAAGCGCTAAACCCATAGGATTATACAGCGCACGTGGGGATGGGGGATGGAAGGTATTCAGGCTCAATTCAGGGAACTGGAGCAAAGATCCAATTCCCTGGATCAAGAGCTCCTCACCAGCGTCAAGGAACGTCCTTTGAGGGGACACTCAGGTAGAATCTTTCCGGTAGTAGAGTAACAGCTTCCCCTGATGAACACTGACATCTTCATTCGCCATTATCATAGTCAAACACAATATAAAATAAAAAATCCATTTGCTCCAACACTTAGTGAGAGCAAGCAGTGCACATATCACTATATTACAGTATACGAGTAACTTACACTAATAATTAAATCTACACAGTCCTGAGTCTCCCTATTCAGACTTTCTCAATAGACATCGACACCATGCCCAGCCCTTCTAGGGCAGGGTAGGTGCCTGAGCCCGAGCTTTTAGCTCATAAGACTGTCATTCCCATTAGGCCCCTTGGGGCGGGGATGGCAGACCAGAGAGGCCTAGCTTGTGGCTAGGCCTGGGGACAGTTGGTCCCAAATATGAGGAGGTACTTGTGCCTCCTCCCATGGGAGACTTAGGTCTCAGACAATCCCTAAAGAGGGAGCCAAGGCCGGGCCACCACTTGGAAAAGGCCCGGGCCGGGAGAATACCGGCGAATCTTTAATAAATAAATAATAATTCCTCAATACTTCAGGTTCTCCACAGGATGAGTAAACTCCTCAATGAACCTTCACCTCAGCAATATACATAGCCTACACATACAAGAAAAAATACGAGGAGTGTGGAACAGCCTGAACTATACAGTTCAATACCTAGACCATACTAGGTAGTGCCGGATTTACCTATAGGCCTGGTAGGCTTCAAAATCTAGGGGGCCCTTCGGCTAAGGAAGATTCCACCCCTGACATTTCACATTAATAATAATAATAATAATAATAATAATAATAATAATAATAATAATAATAATAATAATAATAATAATAATAATATCTTTATTTCTACAAGTACATGTACAAGGTATACAGGCCATAGCTGACATAAATGACATACTACTATATAGAAAGCTGCTTGTTATGCTGAGCATTTCGGGCAAATTAGATCAGTTTTGTCCCAGGATGCGACCCACACCAGTCGACTAACACCCAGGTACCTATTTTACTGATGGGTGAACATAGACAACCACTGAAAGGAAGCACGTCCAATGTTTCTACCCCTTCGCCAGGAATCGAACCAGGACATCTTACCATGTGAAGCGAGAGCTTTCGCCATTAGGCCACGGGACCTTAGAGGAAGAAAAGATGTTCTGATAAAGGCTAAAGGTATCCCCTTTCGGCTAATACATAATTATGATCAGTTAAATATTCTGGTGAGCTTCGAATGGTGAATAATGTACAGTTATACACCTGGAAAATTTTGTAAGTTATTTGTATAAACTAATTTTAATGAAATAAAAGTTTTATTTTTTTTTATTATCACACTGGCCGATTCCCACCAAGGCAGGGTGGCCCGAAAAAGAAAAACTTTCACCATCATTCACTCCATCACTGTCTTGCCAGAAGGGTGCTTTACACTACAGTTTTTAAACTGCAACATTAACACCCCTCCTTCAGAGTGCAGGCACTGTACTTCCCATCTCCAGGACTCAAGTCCGGCCTGCCGGTTTCCCTGAATCCCTTCATAAATGTTACTTTGCTCACACTCCAACAGCACGTCAAGTATTAAAAACCATTTGTCTCCATTCACTCCTATCAAACACGCTCACGCATGCCTGCTGGAAGTCCAAGCCCCTCGCACACAAAACCTCCTTTACCCCCTCCCTCCAACCCTTCCTAGGCCGACCCCTACCCCGCCTTCCTTCCACTACAGACTGATACACTCTTGAAGTCATTCTGTTTCGCTCCATTCTCTCTACATGTCCGAACCACCTCAACAACCCTTCCTCAGCCCTCTGGACAACAGTTTTGGTAATCCCGCACCTCCTCCTAACTTCCAAACTACGAATTCTCTGCATTATATTCACACCACACATTGCCCTCAGACATGACATCTCCACTGCCTCCAGCCTTCTCCTCGCTGCAACATTCATCACCCACGCTTCACACCCATATAAGAGCGTTGGTAAAACTATACTCTCATACATTCCCCTCTTTGCCTCCAAGGACAAAGTTCTTTGTCTCCACAGACTCCTAAGTGCACCACTCACTCTTTTTCCCTCATCAATTCTATAATAATAATAATAATAATAATAATAATAATAATAATAATAATAATAATAATAATAATGATAATAATCATAATAATAATAATTGTGTTTTAAATTTGTAACAGCACCTTTCAAGGCAGGTGAAATTGCTGACCTAGAAAATGTACAGAGAACCTTCACGGTGCGCATAACGGAGATAAAACACCTCAATTACTGGGAGCGCTTGAAGTTCCTGAACCTGTACTCCCTGGAACGCAGGCGGGAGAGATACATGATTATATACACCTGGAAAATCCTAGAGGGACTAGTACCGAACTTGCACACGAAAATCACTTACTGCGAAAGCAAAAGACTCGGCAGACAATGCAACATCTTCCCCAATGAAAAGCAG